TCATCACATTTTTGGGACAATTATTTTTTTCTTTAAATGTTACCCATAAAAATCTAAAATTAAGTATACCGTCAAATCCATCAATAAAGTACTATTATTTTGGAACATTTATTTATTGGAATTTTGGAGCTAATTTTTGACCGAGTAAAATACCCAATTGTAATAATGTTAAGCATTTGTTACTGAGAAACTGATTTCTGTTACGGGTATAAAAAACTCAGACTAAGGTGAGGTGAATTTAAATTTATCAATCCCGCTAATTATTGGTGTTCTATCAGACTGGTGTTCAAGAAGCGTCTGTTCCTGGGCGAGCGTCCGCTGCAGACGTCGTGCGCGGCGGAGATGGAGCTGTTGTACTACCAGGTGCTACACTCCGTGCGACACGACCGACTGCCCATCGAGACCGACGAGGCTGTGAGTATTCTTGTATACCGTGCGTGAGGTAGAACAGTAGAAAAATACTAGAAATTCGAAGAATTATTTTGGGGATTTCCAAGTTTATTCAATTAATAAAATTTTTATTAAAATGTAAGTAGGTTACCAAGTTTTTTGGATAAATATTTTTTTTTATTTTTTTCAAGTCTAGGAAAATTAGTTATTTATTTTATTATGTCTTGTGGGTTTTGTATCATTGCTTGACAAAATAGTGTGAGACCTCATATTATTTGATTTGAAATGATATTACGCCTGTCTTTCAGTATTTCTATTGGTGTTGTTTATTCGTTTAGGCGTGTTGTCTGCTTGTTAGTATGTATAGGTGGTAAAGTAGAGTAGAGGGTGTAAGGTTTGGTTGGTGCAGGTGATGCTGGCGGCGCTGCACGCGCAGGTGGTGAAGGGCGAGTGCGCGGGCGGCGGCGAGGAGTGCGCGGCGGCGGCGGGCGCGGTGCTGCCGGCGCGGCTGGCGCAGCCCGCGCTGCCCGCGCCCGCCGTGCGCCTGCACCACCTGGCGCTGCGCGGCACGCCGCCCGCGCTCGCCATGCAGCGCGCCCTCACGCTCGCCTCCGCCTGGCCGCTCACGCGCGCCACCATCTTCGACGTCATGGTCAGTGCGCACTATACTATTCTTACAATTATTTAATCACACCCAGGCACCGAGTACGCATCGTCAAAGTAAAGCTTACGCGGCCTGTCAGTGCTCAAGGTCATGTCGTTTTAAAGACTACTCCCGAAGAATTGCGCAGTGCACAGATGTAACAGTACATCAGAAAAGGACAAGGAACTTAACGACATAGTATTTCACGTTATAAGTTAGCCGTGGGCGGTGATCCACGTCGCCCACGCCTTACGCTACCTCTGATTTTAAGTACACACTATACACTACACTTGGCAATTTTATTGCGATGTTTCTTTTATATAACATAAGTAAGACTTGTCGCATAAACATATCAATAAGCCCTTTTTGCATTATATGTGTTTACTAACTTTCTTAGTTTATATAGACACCACTCATTGACATCGTTGAAAATATCACGTACGTGGAATTGTTTTTGCTTATTATAAATTTGATACCATCAATCTGCCTTGAGCAAGCGTGATGATTTATGCTCAATAATTCTCCCTGTAAGAAAGTCTTTGCCAGACAGTGAGCATACTTGCTTTGAATCCGTAGGTACTCAATTTGGTAATTAGCTGTATATTTAAGTTACTACTCACGTCCTAATCAATGTAATTTGTACATCAGCAATCGTACACATCGAACTGGCCGCGCGCCCTGTGGCTGGCGGTGGACGCGCGCGGCCTCACACTGTTGCGGCGCGGGTCCCGCGCGGCGCTAGTGTCGCACGACCACGACCAACTGCTCGCGGTGTCGCCGGCGCCGCGGGCATTGTTGCTCGTCACTCGGGCTGACCGCAAGCACGCTAAACTTGTGCTCTCTACTGATCAGGTATGTGTTGACACTATATTATTCAGAACTACTCATTATTGTCCTAGAACAAACATCTCCCCTATTTTACTAACTGTATTAGGTACCTATGTATATGTAGGCGGGAAATATGGATTAATAAAAATAAAATGCTTACTTTATCAATAAAAATGTGTTGTTTGCGTGTTTGACAGGCGTACCAGATCGCGACACTGATCAAGGACTACATCGAGGCGGTACGCGGGCCTGTGTCCCCGGCGGTGCCTGCGGCCGGGGACGGCGCGGCGACGGCCTCGTGACACCCGGCCGCCTAGTGCCAGTGCTTCCACGTCAGGCGCTGAGCCCGCTCAGCACAGCGTAGCTCGCAGGACATGTTCGACTCGCGACCGCTCATTACACGACAACGTGATTTCAAACAATGCATCGATTTTAACAAATACAAACTTCTCTCGAATTTAAAAGCAAAATTCAATCGATCTCAATGGAAGAACAAATATAAATTCGAGATGTTTAAAATTAACTTTTATAATTCGAGTCTTCCACTCAATTTTTTTGAGTTCAACTAATAATAAAATCACTTGATCGTTGTTGTAGTATAAACGTTTATAATTCTACTCCAAGGATACTAAAAATAGTAGTGTCAAATAGTCTCTTTGGAGTTGATACGCTCGCGGCTCGAACAAGGTAGGGAATGCCAATACAGGAGAATTGAATGTTGATGGTGACAGTAAATGGATCTGAATGCGGAAGGCATTAGCTCAAGCGTCCCAGCGCTTTGGGTACCTAGCGGGGTACACATCGCGCACCGTTATAACTCTTAATTTTTAAATAATTACAATTAGTTGAATTTCATTATGAACGAATAAACATTTACTTCACAGCAACAGGTCTGATAACAAAGTGGTGTTCGGTTTTGAGTGACAGAATGGACGATTTAAGTTGCCAGCAAGACGGGGAAGCAAAAGTAAAATAATCCACATACCTTCATAGTCAGTAAATTTAACAATTTTAATCCACTATCTCATAATAGTTGTTATATTCCAATCTATTAAATTCCTCAAAAGTATGTATGCCAGTATTATTACTGTTATAATGTTAGATAAATGTTGCAGTTAGACCTATTGACCGTTGATGTTAAGATTTGTCTGGTAGATAGTAATCAATCTTATTCCCCTTTAGTCTTGGTAATGTAAGATCTTATTGTATTGACATTATAGAACTATATGTGTTAGATGTGAACGCTGAACTAAGGGAGATGTCGATACGAGTGGCTAAGCCAACCCACTGTAAATCGTTATAGCATAATGATACTCTAATGTGACGTGGTTATATATCTGTTGTAGTAAATATGTAAAAGTGACTTGTGGAGGGTACAGGTAACGATGTGAGAGTGCGGCTAGTGTTGTGTATGTCACCAGTTAAACGTAATGTTGTTTATCGTGACGTGATTAGTGTGGCCTGTATTCTTACTTCAGTTGACTGTACGCCCACAAAAATATCTTCTAACATTTCAGATTCCTACTGTGTATCCTATTTTACTATATTCACTCCAATATCTTCCCAGTAGAACACAATAATTACTTTAATCTGCCTATAAAGCAAATACACTTTAAACTCTTGTTTTGTGCCTTGTATAAATGCTAACATAATGATGCTGACTGCCCTCTATATCTCTATAAATTGTATTTATCAATTAAAATAACGAGTCTATTGTGTTCGACAGTCAGCATGTGTTACGTAGCGTATTAAATTCAGTGAGCGATTTGTGCAAATTTATTGTGACTGCAAAATAATTACTGATTGTTTCAAAGTATAACTTCTATCATGCATATTACACTATATTGCACAATGTTATGTCTCAATATTTTATTGTAATAAATATTATATATGGTATATACTAGAGCTAATTGGAATGTAAGTAATTTACTTCGTTAGTAGCACTTAAGATGTTTAGTCGCTGCGTGCTCTGTGTCTTTAGTTGTTATTTGACGCTACGTTTGCTTGCACAATTTTAGTACAGAATCTGATTAATCGAGTATATTGCAAGTATAATATATGTCAGTCAAAGTAGAGGTTTGCGAGTGCCAGCTTCATATACAGACTTAGACAAGCAGTAGATTAACTCACAGGATGAAACTAAAGAATCAGAAACGCAGCGAAATTATTTGATCGAGATTCGATATCCCTTTGTTATAAATGGACGTATTTACATAATAATATCGTTTTGTCTATGTCAAATTCTTATTACATAGAGGACACGCGATATTTTGGACTTCTTTGGTGCTTAGACCCAGAGTTGCTCAGCTTGTGTTTCTGATCTCATATTGAGTATTATTTATTTAGATGCCATATTTTGTTTACGAGCAATATTATTTGATTAGGTTCTATTTATTTTTAATTATGTATTTTGATAACTTGTATATAAATTGGTGAACCAAAGACTTTGATTGTCCCTTTGGATATTTTATCTTTTATGGATTCCAATTACGACATTTGTAAATAGTTATAGACATAGCATACTTATTGACGTGAAATTCTCATAATATCATAGAGGCTGAAATTATATTAAATTATATTGGAACATTTGGCATTCGGTATGTTTTGGCTTTCGGCTTGTTTGTAAGTCAATTATTTAATATTATGTACTAACACTTGACGTATTTAAAACGCACATTGACGCTCGTGATTGTCTCAGGACGAGTTGTATTGACACAAACCACATCAAATGAATACTATGCAATATTTATTGTAATGCCTATAGTTTTCAGTGACAATAGCAGGATACTGGTTCTGCTAATCACAAGCGTCTGTCTACTAACATTGAGCACTAATCTATAGACAATATTTCAAAATTAAAAGTTTCTCATAGCAGTAAGTTTACTATAGTAACGTAATATAGGATAATGGAAGTCAGTGAAACATCGACAAGTACACTAGCATGTGTCTCATCATGTACCACCACTCATACTGCCCAAATAGACTGAAGGTGTCCAAATATTTTATCATTTTTGATGGATTGTTTTTGTTACATTGTGTATGGAATTTTACCCTATTATTTGAATGCCAAATAAATGATTACAAAGTGATTTTTCTTGGTTTTTTATTGAAAACAATATTTTGTACGCTTATAATTTATTTTACTTTAAAAAATATTACTGTGTTACTAATCCTAGGTAGTCGTCCATCAATGTCCCAATGGCGAACTGGAAAAGAAATACAATAATGTTAACACAAAATGGAAAGTATAGCACTGGTTCAATCCTATCTAGTCAGAGTGGGAATTATCTGATTGGCTATGAAAAACGAGAAATTGCCTGATTGATTATGTAACAGTGGCTGACTGGTTTTCAGAGTGTGGTTTTCAGAATGTATTGCCGAATGTCAGGAAGATTAGCTGACTGTTTATGGAGAATGGGAGAAGAAATAGAGTGGAGATTTTCTCATTGGTTTTCATAACCAGAGAATTTGATGATTGGAGATCTCCAGACAGTCAACACGTAGGAATGTCTGATTTTTGGGGAGTGATCTCTTCATAAGCAATTACAACACTTGATAAAACTGTTCAATTTTTCAGTGTCATAATCTGACTTGTTATGAAGAGTGTGGTTTGGGAAATTATCTAGGCAGTTCTTAAAAGCCTGAGCTTGTGTGACAGACAGACTTGAGATTAATGACTTGAGACTTGACTGAATCAGCACCTTCCTTCTAATAAAAAGATGATTGGTAATAATATAACATCTACTTGATGTACATGGGTATATCTTTATATAATTCTGCTGCATGTGTGTACATGTCTTTGCACTCCTAAATTGCTTGACCAATTTAAATGATTTTTTCTGCATGTATTTGAGTGGCGCCTTGGGTGGCTTAGATTCACAAATGAGGCCGGCAGGTGGCGCTGATTGCTTGAAAAAGCATGTGATCTCGGAAGGATTCTGCTGAAATTTGATATGCGGTGGTTTTCAATGACAAGAAATTGATCCAGCTCAGCCTTATGTCTGGGAGAGAGCAAGAGTTTTCCCTTTCGCAATATTTCACACATAATATAATATTTTTTTAATACCCTAATCACTTGAAAAATCATATGATGCAAGACAACATCTGTGGGGTTCGCTAGTATGTAAATATATGTAAGAATAAAAGGTACTCACAATGCCAGTAGCATCCACCCTAGTACCAACTATCTTAAGTCGGATGACATCCTCTTCCTGTATGACATTATCTTCCTGTTTACTCTTGTAACACGGTGGATTTACATTTGGACAGAACTCCATATCAGCTGGGATGGACTGGAAATAAAGTTTTTAACTTAAAATACAGTCATTCTGCAGTAGGATATCTAGCTAACATAACTTCTATAATGAAACAATGAATTTATATTTGGAAATAGGCCATAAAACGGCACTTTTACATGTCAATTTGACTACTCTGAGAAGAAATGCCGAAACAAACTCAAATGTCAGTCTCTTTCTCTTTTTTTTATAACAATGTTAGATTCCAAATAATTTAGAAAAACAGAATACCTATTCTGTAGATACCAGTGAAATGGTCATACCTGTGTAAGAAGCTCAAGACCCCTTTGGGCATTTTGTATTAAATTTGTTTTAATAGTCTAGTTAATACTTACATGGTGTGAAATGAAACAACTTAAAGGGCCAATTTGTGCAAACATTCCAACCTGAAAATAATTTATTTAGATCTTAAGCATTTGTCTACTGAATTCCTTATCATGCAATTATTTTGGTTAAATTAACCAATTCCTCTATTCAAGAGAGAGTTTTTTTTTATCTCACCTTATTAACTTGAGTTACAATAGCATCAAGGACCTCTCCTTTGAATGGCCGGAACACTATAGCCTTGTATTTGACAGGGTACACCACAAACCCCTGCCCTGGCTGGATCAAACCAGCTCCTATACTGTCTATTGCTGTCACAGCTATCACAAATCCATACCTGTTACACAAGAGTTGTATTATTACAAGATACAGAAATGAGCATAGTTATTATAGACATCCAGATGGGTGAATAGTTACCAATCCATGAGATTAACTAAAACTTAGCTAGGAATTGTAAAAATGAAGTGTAGACGTGTAGTATGAAGAAGAAGAACATAACCTAAACGTGGATGTATGTTACACCAAGTTTATAACTTACTTTCCTGTACAAGTGCCCTCCACTTCGGTATATAACTTCTGCTTTACAATATCCAACAATTGCGGCCCGAAATACCGAGGATGAAGAAGGATTTCATGTTCTAGCGATATCTGAAACATTTTGTTTATAAACACAAATTCTTAATACCGACAGAAAATACTTTATAAAGTTGTAACTAAAATTTCTTACGTGATAAAACATTGTGAATGGCAATTGTGTACACTTAATAATACTTTTTATTCATATCACATATAGCAATTAAATTAAATATTTAAAATGTTTACGCTTTAAAATAATTGCTGTACGCTGTGAACATAAAGCGTCGTACAACAAAATAAAGTCAAATTGACAATGTCACTTGTCAAAATGTCAAATTGTTCACAGAAGTTCACAATGGAAAAATAAAAAATATATAATTAACCAAACCTTTTGTTGAAAAAACTAATTCTGGTTTAGTTAAGCATATTTATTAAATAAGCGTCAATGAATTTTGCTACACTTTTATTATTGGGTGACATTCAAGTCACAAAAACCGATATTAAGCCCTTTTCGTCGAATGTTAACCGAATATTACAACTTTGTTTTGTGACAGCACTAGTGATTACTCAAAAATGCCAAATGAATGGCAGACCTATGTGTATCGTAATCAGATTGTTGTAAAAAATGGCAAAAACTTACGATTATTTATTTAAATTACTTTTGATAGGAGATTCTGGAGTGGGAAAAACATCTATATTATTTAGATTTTCAGAAGATGCTTTCAATATTTCATTTATCTCGACTATTGGTGAGTACTTTGATTCAAGTCTTTATATCAAAGGTTATTGTCAGATATTTTTTACGTATATTGTCATGAACAGGATTTTTTGTTTCCACGATCATTGTGTCCATTATTTATCGTTATATATGTTCATGGCGGATAGGGCGCGGTACCTTGTTACACAGAGCCCTTATCGAACTAAATGAATCGAGAGTTTATGACATCATACACACTAATTAATTAGTTGACTCCCGAATAACTAGTGGACTGTTGGTTTCAGGTATTGACTTTAAAATTCGTACGATAGACTTGGACGGAAAAAAAGTAAAATTACAAATATGGTGAGTTGTGTTTTAGATATTTTTATTGTGATCCTTTTGTTTGGAAGTGAGACCTGTTACGAGGCGCGGTCAAGTTAAAGCTGTGGCCAGTTTTGCAACCGTAAATGAGTAATGAGGCTAGTGCAATGTACTCACTTCCTTTCTTCAGGCTATCAAGACAATGGCCCAGGCTGTTGTTCTGTGAGACATTCAAGGAACAAAACAACAATTTACATTTGCTCAATTCTGTGTCATAGTCATGCTTGATCTAAGTTTCTATTGTATAGGCAATGGTATGGCTATTTACAACATTCAGTGATAGCTAAAATAAATAGTAAAATAAACATTATCCTTCTATTTGCAAATTACAATATAATAAAATATTATCATTAACATCAGACAATAAATACTTCTCAGTAATAAAATTCTATTGCATGTTACAGGGACACTGCTGGTCAGGAAAGATTTCGTACAATTACAACAGCATACTACCGTGGTTCTATGGGCATAATGCTTGTTTATGATGTAACAAATGAAAAGAGCTTTGAAAATATAAAGAATTGGATCAGGAATATTGAAGAAAATGCCAGTGCTGATGTTGAAAAGATGATTCTTGGAAACAAGTGTGACTTAGAGGCTAAAAGACAGGTGAGTAAATGTATACTGCATTCTTCATCTTCCCCCGGAATTGGCATAGTTATCTTCTTATTTCATTCCAAAAACAACAACAGCACAGAAAGTTTTCTAGCCAACCATTAAAAGAGAAAGAGTAAAATCCTTTGAAAATCCAATAAACTAAATACTGTCTATTCATAAATCAATGTATCCAATCCAATACTGTGTGTGAAATACATAAAAATCAAGAATATAATAATTATTTCACTCATTTTTACATTCCTCTTATCTCCATTACTGCACAAACCATTATAATTAGTCCTAAACAATGCCTAATTAGTATATAAAACATGATTTCACCAAAAGCAGGACAGAGTTATATAAAAAATATGTATAAATATACTTACTCTATAGTGGCTCTATAATGCCCTGAAAGTAATATGGTTTTCCTACTGTTGCGGCTCTATGGACGCTGTTATCAATAATATTATGTTGGTATTGGATTTGATAAGTGGCAAATGTAGCTGTTAATGTCACAATCACATACATGAGTCATCCATTTGTCGGTATGTTATCTTCATGGCTATAAACATGATAAGTCGAGTGGATTAACTAAGAGGACGCTAACAAGCTCAATACTCTAATAATTTGCTTAAATAATTAATTGATTATATTGTTATTATGCATTTTATACATTATACTGTTACCAAAATTTTGTATTTTGACTTTTTGGAAGAATAAGATTATGCTTATTATATTCTGTTCACAATATCTGATAAATTTTTTTTTTTTGTTTAAACTTACGCATGTTATTTGAAAATTCTTCAAAACATCTATCAGTCAAACTTATGTAGAAATTGCGTTTGCACTGAAATTGTGGGTTTTTATTTGAAAAATACTTAGCCTAGTTGTAAAGATAAAAAAAAGGATTCATTTTCCATACACAAAAATTGTAGAATATGTTGTTATTTTTTTTCTTTTCTGTCTAAGGCATTGCCATATTCTTATTAAATAGGACTGTAACATGCTTTCAAACAGACAGAACAATAAAAATGTTTTTTCATATAATTTCTAGGTATCAAAAGAGCGAGGTGAACAATTAGCCGTAGAATATCAGATTAAATTTATAGAAACTTCAGCAAAAGACTCCTTAAATGTAGAGTCGGCGTTTTATACCCTAGCAAGAGATATCAAGGCGAAAATGGAGAAGAAACAGGTAAGATGACATTTCTATTACTTATTCTATTTGCAATCAAAATAGAGCCTAAGTGCTCTTGAAACTTTGACTTTTAATGTAAATAGCAACACCATGTTGCAATTTGATTCTATATTTTGGTGTACCTATCCATTTCATCATCATTATTATATACCGCAAAATGTTTATTCAATACAATAACATTAAAACAGAATTTAATATATTATTACAATTATAATATAAATTATTTCTCAATTAATTTGAACTTTAATAAAATTGAAATTAAATTTAGAAATGCTAAAATTTTCCTACTCATAAATGTTCATCACATTTCAAACTTATCAGAGTGGTAGTGAGCCATGTTAAAAGTATGCCCTATTGTTCAGAACAATATTACTGCGCCTTCAAACTCTTAAATAGCTATTCTAAGTGTATGTGCCTTCATCATTCAGCTAAGAAAGAAATAATGATTCTATAAGACATTTACTGCCTAATTAATTCACTGATATCAAGGAGAATCATCTAAACTTTGCCAGTTAAAAAATTACCTTTAATATCTGATTTTATCTGGCTATTCTCGCAATAATATGTAGGTTCTCTGGTTCTAAGCAGCAGTAACCACTGACATTCATATGACTGGTAAGCTTTGTTAAGTATATAAAATGGTAGTAGCATATAAAATTAACTAAATCTGCTTAGACGGCCAGACCCATCAGGCTACGATATGATGCGAAATGTTCGTACAAAAGTATGAATTACTACATGTAGCCACACCAAATAGCTTTTTTCTGTGTTTCTGCCCTTTTGCTATCACTCAGACCTCTTATTGGATATAATGAAAAGGGCCTAAATATGTGTGCTAAAAATTGTTTACAAACTTTTACATCAATTTTATTAGATAATCTCAAAAAGTACCGGAAAGTAATGGAAACTTTTAATTCATGGCATGTTTTGTTGCCTACGATATTTTAAGGAACGTACCTACTTGGCTTGACGTAGCCTTGTCAAGTAATTCAGATTACAGCTGTCAAACAATGATGAACTGTATTTACAATACATACAAATGACTCAGGATAATTATATCTATGTTAGTATGCAAGTACATACTTTGGTCTATTTTTCTCGGCTCGAATTGATTAGTCATTAATTTACGCGTCAGTTTTATTGGTACAACAGTAGTGTGATTTATTACAGTGTTGCGATTTTATAAATAGGTCCAAAGCAAAATATTACGTATTTTATTTTACTAAGTGATAGACGCTTTCATAAGACTTTTATGGATGAGCGCGTTTCCATACAGAATGTACTAAAACACTTACTAGCTCCTATTACTAGCATTTCTAAAACAGAAATATTTAATCAATATATCGCAAGCTGGGAAGTGGGAATCGAACCTATTCTCGCTTACCTTTAGCACGAAAACCTCTATAAATTTATATGGCGATGATTATAAAATTAATTTCCTTCATTATCATAGTAAGTAATTTATCATTTCTTTTACCTCGATCCCCGCAACGCTTTCACCGCGTCCTGTGTATAGTATAGTGTACTATAAAATTTGTCTGTGGGTAACAATTGAATCAAGGTCTTATTCATAAGTGTGGACTATTTGCGATCTCGCACAACACCTACTTACTGAATAAATGATAATGATGTGAACTGAACATCGCGTCCGTGTTAATAGTGTTCCCAAATGTATAAGGAATTTAATTATTTTGCCCTATTTAAAATAAATACACGAGAGATTTCTAGTTACCTTTTCAATTCGTAATCGCACGGAATCTTGTCATTGTGATCTGAAACTTAACTAACATAACTGGCAAATAATATACTCATCATAGATGTTTAAATGCGAAACGTATATTATTTAATTAATAGTTGTATTGTGCCGTTTTTTTGCTAGGTATTTTAATAAAAGAATATTTTTGGCAGTTATAGTTTATTAGGTAGATAGGTAGTGTCAGTGTACAGTATAAGTTGTTTTGTTAATTGTCAATACTGTATGTTTTTCAATCTATATAAATAAAATAAAAAAATAAACCGCCGCACTCAGTCATTGATTTTAATAGTTACTTACTAATGCTAGTCCTTAGTATTTTTTCGTAACAAAACTAAGGAAGAGTGTCGGTACCTAATCAATATAAATATATGTTTCTGAGTACGGCGAAAAGAGCTGGCCATTTAGAATACATGCATTCCCTGCTTATCAGTACGAAAACCTCATTGCATCTGCGTGAGTCAATGAGTACCTACTAAATAATGCATAATGCAATCTAAGTAATTACCGAATAGGCAACCGGTTATTATAACTGACTCAGATTTTTAGGAGTACTCCGTTTGTAATTAACAGTTCATTAACTGATGTAGGTTGAACAATATTCTTCTTTGTATCTATTTATTTATGTTCCGTAAACGTAAAACGATATGAATAGAACTAGCTAGGTCAAAGTGGGAGTGAGACAAAATATGAAAATGATTCTTAATTTTTATTAAGTAG